CTGCCCCTCTGTGGTCTTGTAAATGGACTGTTCTTGACATCAGCATGCTCAAAGCACGCTCCACAGACAGGAACAGTCCACTGCTGGACTGTGGGGGAGCATGGTTTTCTGGAGGATCGGCGGGTCAGGTGATTATGAGCTTTGTGCTCACGTCTAGAAAAAGCAAGTAGCTGATCCATGCAGTGGGGGCACTGCATGATGAAAAAAAAAACATTTTTGACCAGAGTCCTGCTTTAAGTCAAACAAACTCCAATTACTGCATCAAAAAAAGAAAAAAAAAGATTTTTCAGTTCCCATTGTTGATTCTTATAATCTGGTTACTGCGTTCAAGCAACTGTTTGCTTATTATCCTGTAATTACAAGCAATTTTAAGATCTGTTTGCAGAAAATGGCAAGATTTCTGTTAATGTAGATTTCTCTGGCACAAGTCCCAATTCTGAATGTAGGATATTCTGAAGCCGCCAGCTGTGTAAAGGTTAAGGGGACCCTGTGATGCTCTGTAGATGAAGGAACATAATATTCATGACATCGTGTAGAGAGTAAAAGGTCGTCTGGTCTCATGTATTTTTAATGAGTCTATAATAGTCTTCTCAGATGGATCTATACTAATGAAGACCAGTGTTAAAGGAGAACTGCACCTGGGAAAAAAAAGGTCATAAATATCTGGTAGACGTAAATGTATGTGTTTCACCTGTCACATGGCAATGGAAAAGTGATTGAAAAGATACAACCAAATATGTTTTCCCCTCTAGCAATTCATGCATTCATATAAGAAAAAAAACAGTGAAGGATATTAGTGTAGGCATCTAAATTTGACTTTATCAGAGCTCTGTAACGCTCTGCATAGCAACAGTCTACTAGAAGAAGGCTGCCAGCTCAAGGAGCCAATCAGACTCTGCTGCACTGCACATGCGAAAACAGTAAACATGCTGATAGGAGAGAACAGAGCGATGACCATGACTGAGCATCTGCTGCTTCATTGTTCAGCAGCATGCTGGGGGGGTGTTCTTAGCTATAATGGAGGTCAATAACATACTTTTTATGAGCAGTTTAGTTCCAGACTAAAGGACTTATAGTGGGTGTGGAGTTTCTTGTGACAAAACCAGATGATCAGTAATGGTTGACCATTAACATTCATCACTGGCCTGTCCACAATGCAAATACTGCATATTGAAGGGTTAAAGGGGAACAGTAGAATAGGGAGCTCTCACCATAATGTGCGAATATGACCAACATACCTGTATATTGTGGCAGATTTACCTTTCAGTTTGTCCTCCTCCAGCTATGATAGCCCAGCCCTCCCAGCAGCTGCATTTTTCTTCCACATTTAATATCTTCTCTTTTAGGTCATTGGAAAGCCACTAATTATCTAACTCTTGTATATGCCCATTGGAGGTGCATTATATTGGCACCAGGCTCCACTGTTTTACTTTAGCTAAGCTATGCTTAAATATTTGGTATTCTTCTTAAACAGCTATATTACATATGGCTCATGTTTTACATGTTTTCCTCATTACTACACCTTGTGAAGGTGCTTATATATTTCCACTGCCTATCTCTGTTTGGTAAAACATGTCAGAACAGGAGGATCTTGGTGGAGTTTGTCTAAATCACCTGGATGAATAAAGTTTATTGAAAGACTGGATTTACAGACTGCACTTTGCATTGTGATGGGAATATAACAAGCGAGTTGGAAGGGGACCTTTTGTTGAGCCAGCACTGTCGGTAGAGCGGTGTATTGTTTAATTAAGAACGTTTCTAGCAATTTCAAATGGTTAAAAAGACAAACAATAAATTAATCAATGCAGTTAACCACCATTCCTGACATACAGATATAAACTTTTTGTGTTAAGTTTCTATGGTCAATGAATTGTTCTTTGTGAATAGGGATGAGCAGGCCAAGGTGGCTGAGCTTGATTTTGCTGCTAAAATCAGCAATTTCGCCTGCACCACAGCATTGTCATCCTCTATATTTGTCATGAAGCACTGCTCTGGGAAGTTAGTTTAAAGTGGACCTGAACTCAAAACGTGGAGATTTGCTATGTTATAGGGAACATCCAGAAGTGGTAATTGTGAGTAGGCAGTACCCATACCTGGGACCTTGTTGGATTTGACCCTTTAATGCTAGAATTCAGCTTCTGTTGCCGAGTGTTACATTTCGGAGCCTCGCATGCTGTGCCCTGCCAGTAACTGCTGGTAAATACGGGCTGCCAGGAGAAGAGGAGAAAGAGCTGGAACTGTCCTTGTGCAGGAGCAAAGTAGACCAAGTAGGGGTGAGCTGCCACTAGGGTGGAAACAAATGTCACTGCCACCCTCAGGCTTTTCTACCTGCAGGAGTGGGGAACTCAAGATGCCACGGTAGAGTTGTTTGTATATAAATGTGTATGTGTGTTGTATGCATGGGTATGCAGTGTGTTTGTATGTTATATGCATGCATTGTGTATGTGTTGCATGTATGTGTATGCAGTCTGTATGTATATTGTATGAATGAGTATGCATGTTGCCTATATGTGTATGTTTGCAGCATGTATGTGTATGCATGTGTATGTATATTGTATGCATGTGTATGCATTTTTATGTATGTTGCAGGTATTTGTATGCGGTGTGTATGTATGTTCTGAATGCATATGCATGTGTATGCAGTGTGTATATCTGTTGCATGTAGTATGTGTATGCATGTGCCTGTATGTGAATGAAGTTTAAATGTATATTGTATGCAGTGTGTATGTCTGTTGCATGTATGATGTATGCATGTGTATGTATGTTGTAGGCTGTGTGTATATATGTTGTATTCATGTGTATGTATGTTGTAGGCATGTGTATGTATTGCATATAAATGTGCATAGATGGTACTTCTGTGCTATGAACTGTATGAGGGTGGTAGTGAAAAGAATCACAGGGGGTGCTGTGTGCTGGACTATATGGTTCTGACTTCTAAACTATGTATGTTACACACACCTGGACCCACTCCTGATCGCCGCATTCTGTACATTACACACCTGCTCCCTGCACTATGTACGTTACCCACCCCAGACCTCTGCACTGTAAGTTACTCAAGCAAACTCCTACACTATGTATGTAAACTAGTGGTGCACTGAAATGAAAATTCTGGTGCCGAAAAACTGATACCGAAAATTCAGAATGCATGTGGCCGAAAACCGAAATGTGTACGTATGTGGGGGTGGGGAGGCTCCAATATTTTTTTTTCTACTTTTATGTATATATTTATATATATATATATATTTTTTTTTATTTTATTTTTTATTTTATACAGTGTATACAGAGAGGCTCCCTCACTGGCTGTCACAATGGGGATGATTTACTAAAGCTGGAAAGTGTCAAATTCGTCTCACTTCTGCATAGAAACCAATCAGCATCTAACCTCAGCTTGTTCAACCCCTTGACGCCGACGTCACACAAATATGTGGCCTCACGGAACTAGGCTTTTTTCCGTGGGGCCGTATATTTGCGTACCTGTCTTTGTGCTGGGAGCGCGCCGCACAGCACATTTCCAGCACAGAGACCGCTGTGTCACTGAGAGCCCCGGGTCCCGTTCTAACAATCGGGACCCAGGACTCCCGAATCCGGGTCACGTGATCGCTGTGATAGCCTCTGATTGGCTATCACAGTGATCAGTCACTGTACAGCCCAGCCCCCTTGTTTTTTCTCTCTCTATGAATGGAGAAGAGAGATACATTGTATCTCTCTAACTCCTGACATAGAGAGATAAACAAATGTTTGTAAAAAAAAAAAAGAAGGAGATAAATAAATAAATATTAATAAATAAAAGAAAAAATTAAAGAAAAATACCTAGCTCAAGGTTTGATCCAGTTCAGTGCCAGGGTTAGTGTTTGGGTCAAGGTCAGGGTCAAAGGTCAAGATCAAAGGTCAGGGTCAAATGTCAGGATTTAAAAAAAAAATTGGTATCAGTGTCAGTTAGCGTTAATGTCAGTGTCAGTGTGTTTTAGGTAAAAAAAAAAAAGACAAAAACAAAATGCGTACTTTTGTTTCTGGGCTGTACTACGGGTACAAACAACAAATAACATACATATGGTATCGCTGCGATCGTCAAGAGCTGGAGAATTTATTTTGGGTTGTTTTATGGAGGTAGGTTATGGTCGTAGCAAGAAATACACAGCTAAATTAAAAAAAAATATTTTTTTTTACTGTTTTGGGCCAGTTTTCCTTTGATAATAAAAAAAAATTAGAAGCTATCCATTACCATTTACCACCAAATGAAAGCCCAATTTGTCCTGAAAAAAACACGGTATAATCCACCTGGATGTACAAAGTAGTTGTGATGATATGTACGGTTTTACTAACACATGTCAATGTTGCAGAATTGTGCTTAGGCATTTAGATTTGTTTTACCCTTAGGCGTGAAGGGGTTAAGTTTTGCCAATAAAACCTGGAAGCTGATTGATTTCTATGCAGAAGTGAGTCTGATTTTGCACTCTCCAGCTTTAGTAAGTAAACCCCTATATGTCAGTACTGTTTTTTAACCACAAGCCTACAGGGCACTTACACCCCCTTCCTGCCCAGGCCAATTTCCAGCTTTCAGCGCTGTGGCACTTTAAGTGACAATTGCGTGGTCATGCAACACTGTACCCATATGAAACTTTTATCATTTTTTTGTGACAGATAGAGCTTTATTTTGGTGGTATTTAATCACCTCTGGGTTTTTTATTTTTTCTTAAACCAAAAACCACTGAAAATTTTGAAAAAAAAAAAATTTTTTTTTCTTAGTTTTTGTTATACAATTTTGTAAATAAGTGATTTTTCTCCTTCACTAATGTGCGCTAATGAGGCTGCAGTGATGGGCACTGATAGGCTGCACTGATAAGTGGCACTGATGGGCACCGATGAGGAGGCACTGGTAGGTGGCACTGATGGGCATTGACAGGGATCACTGATGGGCACATAAAGGCAGCACTGATACATGGCACTGATATACGGCACTGATAGGCGGCACTGACTGGCACTGTTAGGTGGCACTGACTGGCACTGTTAGGTGGCACTGACTGGCACTGTTAGGCGGCACTGACTGTCACTGATAGGCGGCAATGACAGGCACTGACAGGAGGCACTGATGCGCACTGATAGGCAGCACTGATGCGCACTGATAGGTGGCAATGACTGGCACTGATGGGTGACACTGAAAGGCAGCTCAGATGGGCACTGATATGTGGCATTGATGTGCACTGGTAGACGCTGATATGTGGCATTGATGTGGCCCTGATGGACACTGGCACGAGGCACTGACGAGCACTGGCACAAGGCACTGATGGACACTGACAGGTGGCACTGCTGGGGCTAAACTGATCATCAGGGCACACTGATCATCAGTGCCCTGATGATCAGTGTACATGTCCCCTCCGCGGAAAGCCGATTACCGGCTCTCCTCTCGAGCTGTCAGCGTGACAGCTCGAGAGGAGAGAAATGCGGATAACCGGCATTTCCCTGTTTACATATGATCAGCTGTGATTAGACACAGCTGATCACGTGACCGAGCCGACACCTTTGGCTTTTTCCATGATCAGTGATCCGCTTTGTCTGAGGGACACAGCACACCGCCGATTGCCACGCTGCGCACTCCCTGAGCCGCGCATGAGCGGTGAGAATGGGAGGACGTCATATGATGTCCTCCCAGAATGAGGGAACCACCTTGCGTCCGTCATATTTACTATATGGCGGGCAGGAGGTGGTTAAATTCAAATGGCAGCTTTTTTTTTTTTCTTCATTATAGCTAAGAGAAAAACTTTGTTTCTTTAACCTGGGGGGAAAGATACTAAACATAAACTTAGTTTTTTTTTAACTCGGGGAAAGTGACAGGCCATTCTCTGAGCTATAGTGAAGAAAACAAAGGCTGATAATTACATTTAAAAAGCGGCACTGACATATAGGGGGTGATTTACTAAAGCTGGTTCACTCAGAATCTGATGCAGCTGTGCATGGTAGCGAATCAGCTGCTAACCTCAGCTTGTTCAGTTAAGCTTTAGCAATGAAACCTGAAAGCTGATTGGTTTTCATACAGAAGTACACAAGATTCTGAGTGAACCAGCTTTGGTAAATAAACCCCATAGTGATAGCCAGTCACTGTATACACTGCTTCTCTCCTGCCTTTCTCTGACGCCCCCCCTGCAGTACACACAGTCCTCTGTATCGGCACCTGTATTGGCTACATTTTTCCTATCGGCAAAATGCTGATAGAGCTATTTTCGGCCAATATATTTCGGTGGCCAAAATTTTGGTGCATCTCTAATATAAACCCTTCCCACTGTTTGCACAATTTTGTTACAACCACCATCATTCCATTCTCACAAATTCTGATTTTCAATGTGTGAGATCATTTAGGACAACACTGCCTCTAACTACCAGTCTAGATTTGGAGTCAGACTTGAAAATGCCACTGTTATGCTGCTCAGTGTTCTCCTTACTATAGATTATGACCTGAAAAAGCAAAGCCCTGCTTTTAAAGAATAATCACAGGAATTGGAATGTTATACATATTTACATTGATCCAGCTTGGACCAAAGTAACTATGTATATGACATACCTGGCCACTTGCTCCCGGGTCAGCGCTGAGCAGTCAGCCTGATGCATTTTGAATACAGGAGGTTCACAGAGCACAGGCGCTATTCAGAGAATACTTTGCATTTTCTGAATGATTGCAAAACTTTCTCTGATCAGATGAGGTGGAGAGCATGACATCACTGCCCCAAATCTCCACCTTATCCAATCAGAAAATGCAAAGCATTCTCTGACTGGAGCCCATGCCAATTGGCTGACCTCCTGTGTTCACAATTCAGCAATGGATGCATGAAGGTAAAAAACCTTCAGTCTTTAGAACCACTTTAATTTTTTAACAATGATTCTTTGTTCTGAGGTTTATGTGTATCTGTGAGACTGTCACTTGTGACATAAGTATGAGTATTTTGTGGGTACAAGGACTACTGTATATCATTGCCCAGACTAGGCGCAGATTTCCTTCATGCCCTAGGTATAGTCACATTTTGTCACACTGTTGTGACTTTTTTAACCCCTTCCTGACAGGGTAAAACAAAATCCTAACTCTTGAATGCAGTTTTGCAACTTTGACATGTTAGTAAAACTGTACATATCATTGCAATTTTTTAGTGCATCCAGGTGTATTATACCTTGTTTTTTTTCCACGATAAACTGGGCTATCTACTGGTTGAAAAAGAAAATGCATATCTCCTAATTTTTGGTTTTATTATCAAAAGAAAACTGGTCCACAGTAGTAAAAACAAAATGCCAAAAGAGCAACCCAAAATTTATTCTCTTGCTCCTGACGATCGCAGCGATACCACATACATGTATATAATTTGTACCTGTAGTAGGACCCAGAAACAAAAGTGCACTTAAAACTACTTAAAACATGCTGACACTAAGGCTCCATTCACACTTGTGTGACTCCGAAGTCGCACACTTTAAAGTGCGCTTTTGATCCAACTTTACACTCTCTGGACCTAACTTGCATCAAAAGTTGCATCAAAGTAGTGCAGGCACATTTTCAAACTTGCTGTGACTTTAAGTTACACAGATCTGAATGGGTGCCGTTGAAAAGAATGGGCTGCAACTTGTTATGTCCAAAGTCGCATGACAAGTTGCACAAATGTGAATGGAGCCTGGAGTTGCTGCATTACAACACAGTGTCTGGTGAGCACTGTGGTGATGACTGTGCTGATGTGCCAACCCCAGTGCATCGCACCATTTAGTGTTTTGTTTACAACTATCTTTACTGAAATGTCATGCAGTGACATTTCATAAAGTTCTGTCAGCCGGTGTGCTGTGAGTGTGCTGTGCTTGAAAAAAGTACTGTATGTGGTACTTTTTTCAGCACACAGCAACTGCACACCACCACAACGTAGTGGTGTGAACTGGCCACAGACGGAGGCAGCCCCTTTGCACCTGGTGTGAACGTAGCCTAACTGATACTGATCCTAACTACATTTTTTTTTGTAGTCCTGTCAGTAAACTTTTTCCTCTGGAATTCATAAAGACTGATGCAGACAGATTTTGCGAAAGTGTCTCTCATGTGTTCTAAAAGCGGTGCAGAATGTTTCAAATTTGTGTACCTGTCTAGAACTTGTACTTGAATTTGATGCATGCTGGCCACTTTAACAACGCACACGAGACCTTTCACAAAATCTGTCTGCGCCAGTTTCTCTTTGTACACCAAAAAAGAGTTGGTCTTAATTAGCTCCACTTTTGTAAGGTACAAGCTGTCAGGATTTTACTTTGGATTAGATGCATTCAATGTGACACAATGAAAGAGATCTATTGACGATATCTTCTTTATTTGGGAAAGGGAAACATCCATTTTTCATGAGTTTGTCAATCAGCTTAACAGCATTTTTCCCAGCACCATTTTTAATTCTGAGATATCCCCTGACAGCATTACATATCTTGATGTGAGCATCACCAACGACCAAGTACCAGTACACTCCAGACATCTGTGTTCTCAAAACCAATGGACAGGAACACCTTACCACATTACATGAGTGCACATCCCAAGCATCTCTATGATAGCCTGCCTATTTCACAGTTCAAGAGTGTGTTACGCATTGGCTCTTATATGAATGACAGGAGATAAAAACCTGAGGCCATGTATACAAAATATGTGGAATGAGGTTATCCTACCCAAGTTCTTGACCAGGCATTAGCAAGAGCTACATCAAATTCTAAAGGTAGCCCTAGGGCCACCAATAGGCAACTATTTATACATGGCTTCAATCAGGAATCTGATTGTATTAAACAGGCGGTCATGCGTAACATGAACATCCTTAGAACTGATGACACTCTACCACCCGACCTAAAGAATCCCCCGCTATTGGTACACAAGCGAGGTAGATTTCCACGTGACCTATTAGTTCAAGTGGACCCTAGGACCAAGTATGCTAAGGCAGTGTTCAAGGTCTCACAAAGACAGGGTAGTTCCAAGTGTTACATTTGTAATATATGCAACTCATTGATCTGAATATTTCACACATCCTCACAGTGGTAAATATTACCAGATAAAGGGTTACCTGAACTGTAACACTGATTACCGTGTTTACATTCTGAAATGCCCCTGCTCACTAGTTTATATGGGCAAAACAAAAGGTCCCTTTAAGTGTAGGTTTCAGAAACATAGAAGTGATAATAGAACAGCTCTAGTCAAAGAGTATCAAGGGTGAACCTATTGATTTTAGCAAACCCATAGCAGTCCATTTTATTTCGGCAGGACACCAGGTACATGAATTGAGGGGCATGACCATCGAACATGTTAGTCGATCGGCGGGAGGAGGAGATCGTGACAACTTCCTCCTCTGTCGTGAAGCATATTGGATCCATACCCTCGACACGACACAGCCGAGGGGACTGAAATCAATACATCATATTTGTGCTTTTCGGATAGCAGATGAATTTTGGTTAGGACAATTCCTCATGATTGAAGTGTATATAGCTTTTGAAGATAGTTTTTGGTTTCTATTTTTCACATTCACACTTTTCACAGTAGTCTCTCCCTCTCTGTAAGCAGTTGAGCTGCACCACCCTCACATACATATATATTTTTCTTTTCTGCCCTTTTTCCTTCCTTTCTTTTCATCCCCATTTTTCCCGCCATCCTTTCTTCACTTCCGGTCTTATTTTCTATACTCCCTTTTCTTTTTACTCCTTTCCAGCCTCATTCACAAACCAATTACCATCGGTCTCAATCTGCCTCCTTTCTGTCCTATGTCCTCCGCAGCTCATGACATCGGTGACCTGCCTCCACCTCGTATTGGTCCTGCTCACACGCCTACCTGGCGCTGATGTCATGGGTTCCCATGATTACGGTGGCCAGGGCAGAAAAGACATTGAGTGCATGCATGAGTAATAAAATTGCATTACGCATGCGATGTGTCGCTATGACACTGTTGGCCGCCGCACCAATAGAACCACAGTAGCTGTGTCCTCACACGTAGCTTATTTGGCATTAGGTGGAACACCCTCACATCTCTAGGCAACAGGATTTAGCTTCTGTCAGGGACGTACATCCCACCGGTCTATGTTTACAAAATACAGCGCTGCTTCCAGCTGACATTTTATTATATCCTGGGGAATACTTAGATACACACGTGACCACAACGTATATGCCCCCGGGGAGTACAGTTTATGTACATCTGATTATTGTTTTATAGTTTATTTTTGCAGTGTATGTTGTTTTTGTTTACATTGATTCTAATGCATTTTTGGCAGGAATATGACGGGGCAGGGTGGGGCCGGGCTCATTTTACTTCACATTGATTGGTGGATGGTTTTCCTAAATAGTTTTCCAGTTTCTATCACATGCCTGATGAAAGGGTCCTGTAAGACTCCGAAATGTTGCCTTGCTGTAACTATGTGATCGGTCATGAAAGCATTTGGATTCATATTGGTGATCTTCGGTGTGCTGGTGACATTCTCCCTTGTTGATTTTGTTCGGTTCCAGCCAATGGTTGCTGCAGTACCCATTCATATACACAGCCAATATTCAATGCAGGAACTTGTGCGTTGAGATTGTACACTTGCAATTGAAAAATGG